ACACTATTTGTACGACATTTATGATTTTTTTGCATTAACTTTGATTGTTTCATAACACTGTAGACATAAGCCTTTGTTCAATATGGCATCAGTTCTTGATAAAGTTTTACCCATTTGTACATCTGATCATGCAAATGAATGGGCTTCCAAGCGGAAGCTGTTTTTTCACAAATCTGTGAAAGTAGATGGAAATATCTGCTATTTCTTATTTTTTAATAATTAATGGAGGCTTAAAAGCGAGTAGCATGATTCTTTTTAGAAATTTGTCATGAAAAGATGATGTTATTCATATTATTTGGAGAATATGATCCTCCAATATTCATCTTGTGCAATCTTCTCCTCAATTTGACCAGATATAAATTCAATCAAGCATGTCACACTCCCAGATGAGCAACCTGCCTTAGAATATAGGATTAACTTTTTATGCATTGATAATGTAGTGATTTTTTCACTAGCAACCTTGGATGCATGTCACATGTGCATGATTTGAATTTCAAATTTGAATTCATGTTATGTGGCGATCTAAACCTGCTTGTGTAAAAAATCTTTTCAATGACAATGTATAAAAACATTATCCTAGAATATAACCTTTTTGTTTTCTATTTGATTAAATGTAGATGGGTGATGTAGCCAAGGACTTGACTGCTGGAACTGTTGGAGGGGCTGCACAGTTGATAGTTGGGCACCCATTTGACACTATCAAGGTGAAGCTTCAGAGCCAGCCACCTCCACTTCCTGGCCAGCCTCTCAGGTACTCAGGTGCCATGGATGCTGTCAGACAAACATTGGCAGCTGAAGGCCCAAGAGGTTTATACAAAGGTATGGGAGCTCCCCTCGCCACTGTTGCAGCCTTCAATGCAGTGCTCTTCACAGTAAGGGGTCAAATGGAGGCTCTGGTAAGATCTGAACCAGGTGCACCACTTTCTGTGAACCAGCAGGTTGTTTGTGGGGCAGGAGCTGGAGTTGCTGTGTCATTCCTTGCCTGCCCTACGGAATTGATAAAATGCAGGTTAGCCTCTTATTCTGAATCATTAGTTGTATAGTTCCAAAGCAATGTCTTTAAAGCATAAGCTTGTCAAGTAACATTTAAATTGCTTTTTGATTTGAATGTGGAGTTTCTATAGCAACAATTTATTTTCTGCTATTTTCTGTTTTCTGTTTCTATCTCCGGTTGTTTTTCCCAGTGTTTGCAGGAGAATTTTTTTAATTTGTGGGTGGGGTCTGGGCTCATAACTTTGCTGATCTTTGCTGGTTGTTGAAAACATTAAGCAGAGAGATAAACAAAAAGTGAAGGGCCTTGTACGGTGGTGGAAACTATATTAATTACTTTCAAACATTTTACTTCCTGCAACCATCCTATCATTTGTAAATGTAAAATCTGAGATATGCGGCAGTGCAGAAATTCTTTGCACAAGCCATTATAAATGTCCATCCTATGCACAACAAAAGCTAATAACTATAACATGTGCTGATGCTAAGTGTCTAGAAATGCTTTTAAATAATCTTTTGCACAACTAGTGCAGAAAATAACTAATTTTAGGAAGGATACTTGCAAATATTCTGTTTCAAAAATAGTCCCCCCGCCCCCCAAACAACAACAAAAAACCCCCCAAAAAAAAACCAAAAAAGAAAAAGAAAAAGAAAAAGGGCTGTTAGGATCTACCTATCTTTTGATTGGAGTAACTCCATTCATGCAGGTTGCAAGCTCAGAGTGCATTAGCAGGTTCTGGCTCGGCTGCTGTGGCAATCAAGTATGGAGGGCCAATTGATGTTGCCAGACATGTAGTGCAGTCCGCAGGTGTGACGGGTTTGTTCAAGGGTTTAGTTCCCACCTTGGCACGTGAAATACCAGGAAATGCTGTGATGTTTGGTGTTTATGAAGCAATTAAGCAGGTCCTTGCAGGAGGTCAAGACACTTCTATTTTAGGGCGAGGTTCTTTAATGTTGGCAGGAGGCTTAGCTGGTGGTTCCTTTTGGCTATCTGTCTATCCAACTGATGTTGTGAAGAGCGTAATTCAGGTTGATGAGTACAAAAACCCCAAGTACTCTGGAAGCTTTGATGCTTTTAGAAAGATCTTGGCATCAGAGGGGGTCAAAGGCCTGTATAAGGGTTTTGGACCTGCCATGGCACGAAGTGTTCCTGCAAATGCTGCTTGCTTCTTGGCATATGAGATGACGAGGGCTAGTTTAGGGTAATTGTTTCAATTGGTACCAAATCAAAGGGCTCAGGTGGATATCTGGCCATTCTTAACTTTCACCTTGAGACTATTCTTTTGGCATTTGCTGGAATTGATGTCCCAGAATTGTTAATATGTTGCTGTTAGTCAATTTTCTCTTCAAAAATCTCTGCATTTCACAATTATGAACTCTTCACTTGTATGGTTTTCACAGAGGGCCTGTACTAGAGGATCTCTACAGGAGTATCTTATACTCCACTGCTATAAAACTTGTGAATTTGAAGATGATAAAATGTGTCTGAGAATTGCATTAAAAAGCAGAGGACATGCGATTTAGGTATTGTCATTCACCAGGAAAAAGAACACCTTCTTTGCGTGTGACATCTAAGTTATTTTTTGGTTGTTAATGTTCTGCAGCTCTTCGAGGAATTAATATGGGCTTTGTAAGATACAATAGCTGTTATTGAATAGAATAACCTTCTCCACGTCGTTATGAAGCTGCCGAGCTGTGATCCCGAGAAGTGCTAGCATACCAAATCAATCATGGATGGTTGTATGGTCAAATATTCTGAGGTAGGGGTCGCTGGCTATCTTGTCAGGAGTTTGGCCATCAAGCCTACTGGCAAAATCTCTTTGCATGTTCACATGCTCAAGCTTATCAAGAGTAGCTATGTGCATCAGCTCTTCCGGCAGCATGCCTAATGATTTGCAGCTCCTGATTATCAAGGTGGAAATGCAGCTTTCTCCACCTTTATTTTAGCCAATTGATGTAGGTCTCTGAGCTCAAGGAGTTTCAATCGGTGAAAGCCGTTCCCGGAAATGACTAGCTGTTGTCCCTCATATGCAAATTCCATCTTGAGGAACGACAGCTGCCCCAATTGTTAGATAATTTTCAAAATTTGGTCATTTGTTTGTATGTTGGGGGTCAGTCTTAGGACCCGACGTAGAGGCCAACATATTCTGGATCTTATAATTCAATCAAGTTCGTGATGTTAGGCGCCTGACTTTGAATCTAGAATAAGAAGGCGCCCGACTTTGAATCCAACATAAGACTCATCATTGTTTGGTTTTTGCGATGATTAAAAGATGTTCAAGTTTATTATTTGGTACATTTTCATATGTTTGACGGTCAACTACCGTTCAAATGAAATCTAAACATTTAAAAACTATTTGAACACTTGCATTGGTGTTGAGGAACTTTTTGACCAACACAGTTGATGGAAAGTCACAGTGGAGCAAGTTTACAACTCTTTATCATTCTTAATTTCAACTCTATAAAGGTCTAGTAGGAATAATCACTACCGAAGATTATTTTCCTACAATTAGAATTCTCTGCAAAAGCACAACATGGTTCAAGTAGGTTTGTCTAACTTTGTGCAAGAATCAAAGGCAAACACTCTTCAAATTATTCTGAAGGATATTTGTCCAAGGCCTTTACATACTAAATTCTGGACAAATAAAGTCTAAAGAAAAGTGATCTCAAGTCACGATATGAAGTTTTTTTTGCATTATTTACTTTATAACTTTTAGCCATTTTTTCTTATATTATCCCTAACACTAACTTTTCTAGTATTGGCATTGGGTCATCCATGAGATCTATGGATCTCCAAGACAACCGAAAGAGATTTGGAGGAAATTTAGGAGGCAGCATTCTCAACTTCCCGAATAGTTTAAGCTCTATTACATGATGGAGCTTAGATAATCCAACTAGAGATGGTGACTTGCGTTCTTCAACACCATAAAGATGTAAAGTCTTTAGGGTTCCAACCTCACATAAATGCATGCATAGCTTATCTATCTCTGAGATGACATCTACTAAAATCCCCAGACTTGTCAAAGTTATGTTATTATGCATAATGTGATCAAAGTGTATGCATGCCTAACAAAGTCTGAAGATTCATCAATCCTTCAATCTTAAGTGACTTATCAAATCTTATATCAGACGCATATAGATGCCATAAACTTTCAAACTTCCAATTGAAATTTAAAACTTCCACTTGCAAATAGTTGAATATGTCAAGAGTTTGTAGGTTTCGCAAGCAACCTAGGGAATGAGGGAGCTATTTTATGACTGAGTCTCTAAGACTGAGGTACCTCAATAGCCTGACTTTACCAATTCCTTGTGGCAGGCATTCAATGCACAGATTCTCTAGGTCTAGTACCCTAAGCTTTGTGAAACATATAAAGCTAAGACTAACACTTCTTTCATATCTACAAACATTAAAATACAGAAGAGACCAGAGATGAGGTGTGGAATTCACAAAATATATGTGATCCTGAGAAAGAATATGAACAGCAAGGTACCTGGATTTAGCTGAAATTTCATCATCTCTTATGTCATGGATTTGAAAAAAATTTCATCCTTTGCCAATTTTTTTTTTTGGTCAAAACATCCTTTGCCTTTCTGATTGCCAAGTGTCATAATAAATCATGGATCCAACAGCTTTTTATCCTCTCATCAGTGGTCATTAGTGCCACCCGAACCATATTTCTGTTAAAAAGTTGTTCCACACCATATGATGCAGTTTCGTCCAGATTTTCTGCATCTCTTTTTTGAAACATTCCCTCTGCAATCCACATATGGATCAATTTGCGCATAGAAATCTCAGTATGTTCTGGAAACAAGCCCAAATACAAAAAGAAAAATTTTAGATTGGGAGAAAGGTCGGCATAACTTTATTCCAAAATTGTTGATACTCCTCCATTCTGGCCCCTCGATAAGTATGTGCTAATGTTGTTGAGTACTTTCTCCCATTCGCTCTTCATCTTTTTCTTGCTCAATAGCAGGCCACCTAAAACCGTTATGGCCAGTGGCAGACCAGCTCACCACCTTGCAATCTCTCTGCCTACATTTTTCGAATCCAAAGGACACCCATCATTAGCCCCATTACTGAAGGCCTTTTTGAGAAACAATTTCCAGCTATCTTCCTTGCCCAAAGCTTTCAGCTCATATGGGATGCTAAGACCATCCGCATGGAGAGGAATATTCGTATTGCGGCTTGTAAGTAACAATCTACTTGATCTACTAACATCAGGAAGGGCCCAAGCAAGACAATCCCACGCTTCCTTCTTCCATACATCATCAAGTACCACAAGATAACATTTTTCTTGTAGATCTTGATAGAGCCTTTGTTTCAAGTCTTGCTCTTCCATCTTTTCCAAAATTTCTAGCAGCGCGTTACTCATTGGATTCAATTGCTTTATGATTGATCTCAACATCTTTTTGTGATTGTAGCTTGAAGAGACACAGAGGCAAGCTCGACACTCAAAACTTGTCCACACATCAGCATGGTTGTAAACTTTTCTCGGTAGAGTTCTCTTGCCAACACCTCGCACACCAATGATTGAAACCACACGGCGGTTTTTGTCTTCTTTCAAAAGTTCTGCCACCAGGGATTTTTTGACCTTCTCGAAGCCCACAATATCCTTTTCCTCTCTAATTGGAGAGGATCGCCCGAGCCGTTGATGCTCTTCTCCATGTGTACTCATCCTCTCTCCCAAGATTTCTGATACCATACTTTTCATGGACAATATGCCAATTTGGTAACAAATTCCTTTATCGTTTATGCACTCAATTTACTGGCAACGATCTTGAAGAAGCGCTGAACTTCCCTGGGCTGAGCTGACCTGATGAGCTCGGCGTGCTGACGAGAAGAGCGTGTTCCAACTCTGCAAGACAAACAAGAAGAGATCTCTGGGGTGACGAACAGGGGAACCCCGATGTGGTCCCCGGAGTCACTCCGACGGTCAAGTTAGTCTCCCGGTGAACGGAGTTTACTAGGAGTAAAGCAGTTGGGAGTATTTTGCCAATAGTGAACGTACCTTATGCAGTTGGTGTGCGTTGCCATTTATACCCGTTCGAGAATCCGACCTCCGTACGTTTCGGCACCTGCTCGGGATAGTCTCAATCCCGCGCTGAGTGGGATTCTCCCCGCTCTCTGCGAGATTGTCCCCTGGAGCCCTTCGGAGCCCTAGCGGTGGTGTGTCCCAGGACGATTCCCATGAGCCTGGGATCCAGGCCCAGCTCAAGCCTCCCTGGGCTGCCACGTGTCTGGGTTCAGGACGGGGCCTCTGCACTAGCTTCCTAGATTAGGTAGGGTTTCCAAACAGACCTAATCTACACCTCTGCCACGTGGGAGACCGGCGTCACCCTGCTCTACCAGGGTCACCTCTGGTACAGTGCTGTCACTGAAAAGTTGCGCTCACGTCCTTTCGGCTGTTGCGTCTCTTCGGTTTCCGTATCGCTCTTAAATGCGTTCACATGGGGACGGTTCAAATTCAAGCAGCCGCTTCCTCCCATTTCATTCCCTATAAATAGGGATTTCCAGATTTCCTCCGACTCTATTTGCCATTTTCCTCTTTTCGTGTATTTTCTTACGCTCGGAATTTCCAGCGATAAGACCTCCGGCCCACAGTGCCCAGATTCCGGCTGTTCCTTCATTTTTTTCCATTCCGTTCACCAGTAAATCCTTTTCCTTCCTCCTTCCTCCTTCGCTCCCTTTACCCTTTGCCATCTTCTGCTTTTTATGTCGGATCAGTCCGGCGTTACTTCCACTGCATCTGGGGTTCCAGCACATCGTAGAGCCCTTAGGATCCTTATTTCTTCTTCGTCTTCATCTTCATCCTCATTTTCATCTTCATCTTCCTCTCCTCCACTTTCTTTCTCTTCTGCCTCTAATCCCAACTTCCACATCTCTGACCTGGTCGAGCCCATAATCATCATGAGTTCTCCATCTGCCCATTCTCCTTCTGCCCGAATCCTGGAGGAGGTGGCCGAGCTCGACACCCTCATTGAGTAGCAGGCCACTTCCGTTCCCTCCCCCAGTCCCCACATGACTCCCTTGACGGAGCCCAGAGAAGGGCTGGTGAGGACAGGGATTCCTTCGAGGGGACCCCTTCTTCCGAGCAGGGGGATGATCCTGGATTCGACTACGGTTATCCTGACCAGTAAGAGGTCACCCTCTCACCTGAGGAGGTTGCCGAGCTGGTTAGGTCTTTTTCCATTCCCCCCGCCTTCGAGCCGAGGGCTGCCGGGCCCAACGACCCAGCCAGCCGACCTCCCCCCGGCTTTGTAGCCATCTATAGGAAGCAGCTGGTCGTAGAATTTTGACTCCCCATTCCTCCGGCCCTAGCCGAGATCCTGAGCTACTGGGGGTTCAGAATCACCCACGTTCATCCCAACTCGATTGGAATTATCATCGAATTCCTGATCTACTGTCAAATCTGCTCCATCCCCTACTCTCTTTCTCTCTTCCGAACCTCCTACACCCTCAAGCTCTCCCTTTCTGGGTGGTACTACTTCTCTCGTCGAACTATTAGTAAAGTTCGGGGTGGGAAGGGTACCCAAGATCTGCTCTTCGGGGTCCCCTCTTCCATAAAGAATTGGAAAGGGGACTTCTTCTTTGTTAGATCCACGCATTTTTTTCCTAATGTGTGGAAGGTCGGGGAGGTCGATTCCGACCCCTATCCGGGGGACTTGGATTCCGAAGCCTTTAGCCAGCTGGTGAGCTCCACGGTGAAGCTCTATGCGGCCAGGTTCTCCACCGAGCAGATATCTACGACCGGGCTGATGGAGACGTTGTCCGGATCCCCTGGAGAAGTGGTGCCCTCTCCTACCGACTACGACACCTGTAATGCCGCCTCTGTGCCCCTGTAGTCCGTTACTTTCTTTCTTCTTTTACTAACCTGTGTGTGCTAACCTGCAGTGAGGAGGCTTTCCAAACTGTTGGGCACGCCTTCCAACGTGGCTGCCCCTACTCCGCAGCAAGAGGCTGCCAAGAAGGCCTCTGAGGTCTCTCCAATTCCTGGGGGCAGCTCGGCCCCCCAGAAGGAAGCATCCCACTCCTCGTTCCCCTCCAAGCAGGTTGCTAGCAAGAAGAAGGCGACCGGACAGAAGAGAGGTCGAGAGGACGAGCCCTTCCAACCCGAGAAGAGGCTTGCGCCGTCTCCAGCACAGCCCCCTCTCCTGCTAACGTCGAGGGGCGCCTCTCATGCAGGTCCGACCCACCTGGGGATTGGCTCAGCGGAGGAGCACGCGCGGGAGAAGCCACCCTCCAGTCTGTGGTATTTTCGCCATGTGGCCCCCTCGAAACCGGGCCAGGCCCCCTCCATGCACGAGCCCCGTCATTTTTGTCCGTCCTGGGGACTCTCCATCAACGACCGAGCCCAGTTTTCTGAGATGGCTCGCGAGTTGGTAGCGGGCTAGATCCTCCTGCATGACAGGAGGTGGATGGAGCTGGCCAACCCGTCCGAACTCCAGGACATGTATTACACCGCCCAGGCTCAAGTAAGCTTTCTTCCACTGTTTCTGCTTCTACCTTGGGTGGGGTCGACAGTATGCTAATTTTTCTTTCCGTTCCTTAGGCCAATGCCGCTGGAACTGCCCTGGTGACCCGTTTCTCCGAGCTGTCTCCCGACTTGGAGAAATAACAGAAGAAAAATCGGGAGACCGAGCAGAGGCTTGCCCACGCTCTAAAGGAGACGGACTCCCTAAAGGGTAAGTTGAACAAGGCCGAAAAGGAGTTGGAAGCGGCTCAAGTCCAGCTCGCCTCCACCAGGTCAGAGCTGGACCAGGAGAGGACGGACATGGAGAAACGAATGAAATTATCTAACCTTGACTCATAATTTTCGCTTGCGCCGAACTCTGATAATCAGAACGGTATGCCGACCTCCTGGGTCGAGCACCAAATTGATCCACCAAGGCTCTCGGGTCGAGCATCTATCAAACTTGAAACTAATAACTAAATTGTCAAGGACAATATACTAGGGCGACATCAAACTATCAAACTAAATTAGCAATCGAACTCTAATAACCGAAGCGACGTGCCGGCTTCCAGGGCCGAGCACCCGATCTTAAGGTTTTAAGCTACACAAACCTCCTGAGTCGAACGTCAAACTCTCAAACTTTAAGGACATCTCATTCATTCATTGCCCCCCGCTAAGTGCGCTAATGTAGAATTAACAATCAAATAGCGTGACAGGTCAAGATAAACGGTTTTTATAAACTTTGTAATGAAGATTCGAAGTCGAACATTTATTTAGCTTGACCTGGAAGCGTATTCCGAAGAACAGGCAGCATGATATATCAACCTAACCTAGGAACAAACGCAAGTTCGAAAAGTGCCAAGTGCGGGGTACCTCTACTCCATCTAATTTCGCAAGCTTACAGTACCCAACTCGACTCGCCTCCAGTACCTTGTACGGCCCCTCCCAGTTCGGATCGAGTTTGTTAGAACTATGAGCTCGACTGACTGAGTTCCTTCTTAAGACGAGATCTCCCGGCCGGTACTGCGTATTCCTCACCTTTTCGTTATGATAGCGGGCGAGTTGACTTTTATACCTAACCATCCGTATCGCCGCTTCCTCGCGTTTGGCTTCCAGCATGTCCAAGTTACACCGCAGTTCCTCTTCATTGGCTGCCGCAACAAAGTTCTATGTCCGAGGTGATGGGAGGCCAATCTCCGCTGGTACCACCGCTTCTGCCCCATAAGTCAAGGAGAAAGGGGTCTCATGAGTGGCTGTTTTCGGCGTAGTTCGGTAAACCCAGAGGACACTAGGGAGTTTCTCTAGCCAGTTAGACTGGGCCAGTTCCAACCCAGTCTTCAGTTCTTGCAGAATGGTCCGGTTAATGTTCTCCACTTGGCCGTTGGTCTGGGGATGACCGACCGACGTGAAGTGTTGGTTGATCTCGAGCTCCCCACACCAGCTCCTGAAGGGGTTTTCCGCGAACTGCCGCCCGTTGTCAGATATCAAGACACGTGGGATCCCGAAGCGGCAGACTACGTTCTTCCAGAAGAATTTCTGAACTGCTGTCCCAGAGATAGTGGTCAGAGGCTCCGCTTCCATCCACTTTGTGAAGTAGTCGATGGCCACCACGAGATGTTCGTATCTCCCGAGAGCTCGAGAAAAAGGTCCCAGAAGGTCTATTCTCTACTGGGCAAAGGGCCAAGAACTGTGGATGGGAATCTTCTCCTGAGTTGGCTGGTGACGCAGCGGGGCGTGCACCTGACAAGCTCGACACCGCTGAACTAGCGCCGCGGCATCTCGAAACACTAAGGGCCAATAGTAGCTTAGGAGCAGACACTTTTTGGCCAACACTCGGGATCCCACATGCGCCGCACATAAGCCTTCATGAATTTCACGGAGGACGTAGTCGCCCTTCTCAGGAGTCACGCACTTTATCCAGGGGGACAAATACGACCTCCTGTAGAGGGTCCCCCCAACGTAGGCGTACTTGGTAGCCCTGAGCTGTAGTCGGCGAGCCTTGGTTTTGTCCCCGGGGAGGACACCTGAACTAAGGAAGTCCACGAGGGGAGTCATCCAAGAGGCCGGGCTGTCTATAGCCAAGACTTGGATCTGGTCGATGCTTTTTTGCCTGACTACTTTCACCAAGACCTCCTTGTTCAGGTGAGCAAACGAGAAAGACGCCAGTTTTGACAGAGCGTCCGCGGGCTTGTTCTGTGATCTTGGCACCCGCTCGATTTCAAAAATATCAAATAGGGTGATTGCTTCTCGTACCCTAGCCAAGTATTTTTTCATGATGTCCTCCTTGGCCTCGTACTCTCCGCAAACTTGGTGGATTACGAGTTGCAAGTCACTCCGGATTTTGATCGCGGTTATACCCATCTGGTGGACTATCCGCAATCCGGTCAATAGGGTCTCATATTCCGCCTCATTGTTAGATGCCGGAAAGTCAAATCTGAGCACGTAGGTCAGCTCTTCCCCGATGGGTAAGGTGAGCAGTAGGCTGGCTCCGCTCCCTTCCTTGCTCGAGGCCCCGTCCACGAATAGTACCCACGGCTCTTCCGGCCGTTCCTCCTTGGACAAAGAGCTCGGCTCAGCCACGGACAAACAGGCTCCCTCAGCAAGGAAGTCTGCCAGGGTCCGAGCTTTGATAGCGGTGCGAGACTGATAGCCGATGTCGTGCTCGGCCAGTTCGACGCCCCACTTGGTCATTCTGCCCGAGACCTCAGGCTTTGTGAGTATCTGTCGTAAGGGCTGATCAGTCATGACAATAATACTGTGGGCCTGGAAATAAAGTCGGAGTTTCCGGTTAACGTGCACCAGGATAAGGACCAATTTTTCTGCCGGTGTGTACAGCGTTTTTGGCCCTTGTAAAGCACGGCTGACGTAGTATATTGGCCTTTGAGCCCCTCTGTCCTCCCGCACCAAAACGGCGCTAACGGTCTCGCTATAATCAGACAAGTATAGGAACAGGGTTTCTCTCTGCTTCAGGGCGGTCAAAATGGGCAGCTCAGCAAGATATGCTTTCAGGTCGGCGAAGGCTCTTTAGCATTTTTCAGTCCATCGGAAGTCTTTAGGCGCTTTTAGGATTCAGAAGAAGGGTAACCCCCTCACTGCGGAACGCGAGAGAAACCTACTTAGGGCGGCCATCCTTCCCGTGAGCCGCTAGACCTCCTTTACGTTCCTCGGAGGGGTCATGTCTATGATGGCGTGGAGCTTATCCGGATTGGCCCGGATCCCTTCTCGGGACACAAAGAAGTCTAGGAATCTTCCCGACCTAACCCCGAAGGTGCATTTCTTTGGGTTCAGCCGCATCCGGCTCTCCCACAGGATATCCAAGATCTTCCTCAAGTCGGGAACGAGCCGTTGGTAAGTTCGGCTCTTGATAATCATATCGTCCACATAGACCTCCATACTCCTACCGATCTGATTCTGGAATAACTTGTTGACCAGGCGCTGGTAGGTAGCTCCAGCGTTTTTTAGCCCAAATGGCATTGTCTGATAGCAGTAAGTCCCTTCCTCAGTGATGAAGGAAGTCTTTTCCCGGTTTTCTTCGGCCATCTCTATCTGGTGGTATCCCTTGAAGGCATCCAAGAATCACAAAACGTCAAAACCTACAGTAGAATCTACTAACCTGTCGATCCTTGACAAGGGGAAGCAGTCCTTTGGACAGGCCTTATTGAGATCTGTGAAGTCCACGCACATCTTCCAAGACTGGTCCTCCTTCTTCACCAGGACCGGGTTGGCTAACCACGTCGGATAATGTACCTCCAGGATGATTTTGGATTCCAGCAGCTTGCCGACCTCCTTTTTGATCACCTCATTCCTCTACGGGGCGAAACTCCTTTTCTTCTGCTTCACTGACTTGAAGCGGAGATCTACGTTTAGGTGGTGGATGGCCAGGTCGGTCGGGATCCCGGGCATGTCCTCAACCGTCCACGCGAAGACCCGGAAGTACTCCCTGAGCAGGGCCTTCAGACCCTCCTTTTCCTCGGGAGGTAACAATGCGCCGATGCGGAGGACCCGATCAGACCTATCCTCTCTCAAGGGGAACTCCTCGATCTCATCCTGGGTGCCCAACTGCCAGACCTCCTCCCCCAGGATGTAGGGTTCCAAGGTGGTCGTCTGGGCGACCACCTTTTCCTGTCCTCGAAGCATGGTCAAGAAGCAAGTTCTGGCCACTTCTGGGTCTCAATGCACCTCGGCTATTCCTCCCGGGGTGGAGAATTTGACGCTGAGGTGGAGCGAAAAGGGAATAACTCAAAGGGCGTTCAAGACGGGCCGACCTAAGAATACATTGTACGGGGATTGTTGTTTGACTACCACGAAATTGACGGGAATGGTCCGGCATTTGGGCGCCTGCCCTACCGTGACCATCAGGGTGATCATCTCCTCCGGATTGATGGGCGGCCCGGTGAAGCCCACCAGGGGTATCCGAACAGGGGTCAACTGCCCATCTTCCAAACCGAACTCCTTGAACACCCGGTAGAACAGGATGTCCACCGCACTTCCTTGATCGACGTACACTTTCTTCACCCGATAGTTGTTCGTTATGACGTCCATCACGATGGCCTCGTGGTTTCCTGACGCCAGGGGAACCGCGTCCCTCGATCCGAAGGTGATCTCTTCGTCCATGCGCAGGCGCTTCAAGGAATCATCCCCCTCAGGGGGAAGTCGCCTGTTCTTCCGAACTGCATGGCTGTCCCCCCGTGGGGCCCCCGGCGATGGTTTTTATCAACCCCGCCAAGTTCTGAGTGTCCTGGTCAGGGGAGCGGCCGCGAGGAATATCACGCAACTCAGGGTGATCGCGGCGGTGGCTCTCGCTCCTGTCCCCGCAGTAGGTACGTCCTGGGTCTTGACCTGGTCGACCTTGCCGCACAAATCGTCCCAGGAAGCCGCGTTGGATCAGATCCTCGATCTCCTTCCGCAGGGCCCAGCACCTCTTCGTATCATACCCAACATCACGGTGGAAGGCACAATACCGGTTCTGGTTTCTCTTGTTCCGGGGCGTCCCCATCTTAGGCGGTCGTTCCCTAGACCCTCCGCCTCCATAATGGCAAGGATCTGGGCTCTTGACCGAGTCAGGGGGTGTACCCCTTTTTCGAAAGCGGCGGTTGAGCGGGGGTTTTCTTCTTGGAGAGTCGGTCAAAAACATTTTTTTTGGCCGGACCATCCTTGCTTTCGGGGGGTCCCCATCCTCTCCGATTTTCGAACTCCGGATCCGACTCCCTCTTCAAGCGCGCCACCTCTTCTGCGTTTGCAGCTGCGTGCGCCCTGGTTAAGAGCTCTTCCAGGTCTGCGGGAGGCTTCTCGGCCAACTTGTAGAAGAGCTCCTCCGCCTTGAAACCCTTCATGAAGGTGGCCATCACCACTTTTTCATCCTTGTCTCGGATCTGCAGGCTCTCCGTGTTGAAACGGGTCATGAAATTTCTCAGTGACTCATCCGGTTTCTGCCTGATTGCCATCAAGTGAGCCGCGTTCTTCGAATAAGTCTTCGAAGAGACGAACTGGACGACGAATTGTTTGGCCAGCTCGGGGAAAATTCGGATGGACCCCGGTGCCAGATCCTGGAACCAAAGCCGGGCCCTCCCCTTCAGAAACATGGGGAAGGTCTTGCAGCGGATTTCATCCACGACTGTTTGCAGATGCATGTGCGTCAAGAAGACCGAGAGGTGGTCTTCCGGGTCGGTCGAAGCGCCATACAGCTCAATGTTCCGGATCTTAAACCTTCGGGGTAGTGGGTAGTCCTCTATCCCCCGGGTGAAGGGCGAGACTGTGTAATTGTTCTTGTTCAATTGCGGCCGCAAGATCTGCTCGAGTTCGTCTCAGACAGGTTTCCACTGGGGAAGGTTGCGCGGCCGGCTCTTGACAGATCGGTCGGGGAAGTGTTCAGGCTTGTGCTGCGCGGGCTTCCGCGGGGAAAGATTTCTCGATCGGCTCCCAGCGGATCGGTCGCGGGAGTACCTCTCGCTATCCCCGACCACCGAGACTCGTGGGCGAGGGGGAGTTCGTGACTGTTTCCTTCTGGGGGACTAGTCTCGTGACTCATCTTCTGAGGGAATGGGAGGCGATTCCTTCTCCTTCTCCCTCGCCTGGGGGACTGTCTCCTTCTTCCAGTATGGGGAGGTTCTCCGTCACGAACTGAAGGATCTGCTGTCTCCGTTCCCCTGAAAGGGCAGAGCCCCTAGCGTCCCGAGCCGCCTCGGTCTCCCTTCGCCGGGACCCCTCGCAGGCTCCGGGATCGGTGTTCTCGATGGTTCGCTTGGAACGCGTTCCCGCCATCAACACAACTATACTTACCTTTCGTTCCTACAGACGGCGCCAACTGAAGAAGCGCTAAGCTTTCCCGGGCTGAGCTGACCTGATGAGCTCGGCGTGCTGACGAGAAGAGCGTGTTCCAACTCTGTAAGACAAACAAGAAGAGGTCTCTGGGGTGACGAACAGGGGAGCCCCGAGGTGATCCCCGGAGTCACTCCGACGGTCAAGTTTGTCTCCTGGTGAACGGAGTTTATTAGGAATAAAGCAGTTGGGAGTATTTTGCCAATAGTGAGCGTATCTTATGCAGTTGGAATGCATTACCATTTATACCCGCTCGAAAATCCAACCTCCGTACGTTTCGGGACCTATCCGGGATAGTCTCAATCCCGCGCTGAGGGGGATTCTCCCCTGGAGCCCTCCAGAGCCCTAGCGGTGGTGTGCCCCAGGACGGTTCCCATGGGCCTGGGGTCCAGGCCCAACTCTGGCCTCCCTGGGCTGCCACGTGTCTGGGCTCAGGACGGGGCCTCTGCAGATCTCAATGACATCCTCCGTTTCATAAAGGCCGCAGCTCTGATTTTAGAAACCCAGTTGTGAACCCTCTCATTCTCATCTTGCCATTGGTCTGCATCTTTTAGGAAACACCGCATTCGGACCATATCATTTCGGAGTCTTTCAACTTGTCCCTGAACACCTTTCAGAAAGACAAATTTTTTAATCAGCAGATCGCTAACTCTCTCGACAACAAGAGAGACAACAACGTCAGCATCTAGTTTACGTGAGCTTAGCTTTTCAAGATAAAAGAGTAACAACCAGCAAAGGAGGAGAAGCTCTTGGCTATTAAGTGCAGTTGTAGAACTCTCATCTCTGTCAGTTTAACTGATCTCAGAAAAGAGGTTCCATTCACATAGTTCATTTTTCCCTTCCAGTTTTCTCCTTAACTTTCTTAAAAGAAAAAAAAGCAATTATTCCAGTCAAAAGAAAGCAGTTTTTGATTAGAATAAATCCACAAGCAGGTGGGGACATCTGAGAATCCTCCAAAAAAAAAAAGGGAAGTGCTGCTGATTGCATGTTTATCCAAGTCACTTTTATAGGGGAAAAAGAACAATATTAGAAGATTCCCATCTCAATATCTTCAAGTCACTTTTTCCATCATCTACCTCATTAATATTCCACATTATTGGCGAAATCTATGGTATGCAGTGTTAGTGGCTAGAATGCTTGCATGCATAAAATCCCTTTGCTGTTCAGTAACATCATAAAATTTGCCACATAATTGATGATAGCACTTAATCTTAACATACCAATTAACTATATTAACAATGGTAGCCTTGCTACTTTTGAAAGTAAATCTGTGAGGTCATATGACAGAAACTAACATTAAGAATTACAGGGGAACAAACACACGTATACATCATTTTATGCTAAATTTGTCTTTTTGGCAAAATTAACGGAATCAGTATGGTTGATTGTTAATCCAAGGATTTAAATGACACAAAATAACGTTAAGGACTCAAGTGCAAATTAGGTAAATGGTGGGGTTTTGACGTAATTAACCCAATAAACTTGTGCAACTGCTTTAAGTCTTTGCTTTTACTTTATTATTATTATTATTGTAAGTTTTAAAAGAAAAGAAAAAAATGAACAAAAACTCTGCTTTTTTTTTATTTTTCCACACCCTAAATATGCTTACAAGGTAGGCATTTATAGGACAACCCTATCATAGTTCTGCCACCACTTAAGGTAATAGAACCATGATTTTAGGGATTACATAATCAACTCATATCCTATCTATTCAAACTTGATTGATCATAAGCAATAAAATCCCATAATCATGGGAGGTAATATCTCTCATAATCATGGGAGATAATTATGGAATATAATATCTCCCATAATCATAGGAGATAATATCTTCGACACCCCCCCTCAAGTTGGTGCATATATATTTATCATGTCCAACTTGCTTGTAAGAAGTTCAAAATTTGGTCTGAGGAGTCCTTTGGTGAGAATGTTAGCTATCTGCTGAGCTGATGGAACGAATGGCATGCAGATAATTCCTCCTTCAAGTTTCTCTTTTATGAAGTGGCGGTCAATCTCAATATGTTTGTTTCTATCATGTTGCACAGGATTATGAGCTATGCTAATTGCCGTCTGGTTATCACAATAGAGCCTCATTGGAAGTTCAATAGGTCTTTTCAGCTCCTCTAAAACTCTCTTCAGCCATAACATCTCACACACACCATGAGCCATAGCTCGGTACTCTGCCTCTGCACTACTACAAGCTACAACACTTTGTTTCTTACTTC